TGCGATAGAAAGAGTGAGACCGGGAATATCGACAAAATGGTCCATCAGCAGGTCGTGTGAGGTCTTGGGTATGTATCGCCATGGGATAGTTTTCCACGTCGTTTTTTCAAAAAAAGAGTGATCATGTTCATTGAAGGAGTTGCACGCCTGACGCCACAGCCAATTCTATCAGTACATGTAGAGACCACAAGTATTCAGGAAGTCAAAGAACAAAGCCCGGAATTCCCTTACATGAAGTGCCCGAATTTGGCGTAGATAGGTCAACATTGGCTCTTGCTGAAAGCACTCTGGCCCACACATTTCTATAATTTTCGACATGCCGTAATAGTGAGGAACGTTGGGCACGTTCTCTACCGCATACTGTATTTGTTAGAATAGGGACTGTGACAATAGGCTCGTGCTCTTGACCGAAGTTCCTTTTCAAAGACTTACTTGGTAAAGACTAAGGATAATGATTGTGAAGGCCCACCTCGCCAACTCCTGATTGGACTTCGCTGACACAGCGTGATGCAACGCTCTGATTACCTTGCCATTCAACTCGTAGCCCTCGGCCACCATGCTCGGCTCGTTGACAGAATTTCCCATGAAGCCGAGCGCAGTCGCTAGGCTTCCCGTATAATCGGCTTTGGCCACATCTGAATCTATTTCTCCGTCTAATGACATTCGAAAGAGAGGTTTCCAAAACGGAGCCCAGCGGTAGTGAGCTACAAGATGGGAAAATGCCATGCGGTTACGAAAAGCTGTGAACGGGAGCTCTGGGACGATGTTCTGGTGAATAACAGTGCTCGAGCTCGTGTTTGAGACTCTGACTAGTTGTTGACTACCACCAGCATCGCCAGTGGCGGCAAAGTTTTGCATGCGGAGCGGCAACTCGTAGCCCAGGCATTTGTGGCCGGATTTGAGACATCTCTCACATGCAGGTCGAGCTTTGTCTAAGTGTTTTCAAGTGCGTGTAAGTGACATGACCGTTTATGAGCTGGACAGGCTAGAATTGTAACAGAAAGAGCACGATGGACATACCACACTTGACCCGTCTTCGTCGACAGGTATGACAGTAGCCGCTAGTTGGCGGACGTCCCATGGTGAAACGTATTTCTGGATAAAGTGTTTTAAGTCAAGTGAGGATGTTTACGATGGCTATGTTAACTATGAGCCCACCGAAAAGCTTGCGAAGAAGATTCAAGAAATGTGTCGTCGTAGAAAAGCGAGACGAACTTAGCATAATATATTGCTTCTGAATCAACAATGAAAGAGAGAGCCCCAGTCTTGGATGTTGTCGAATAGACCTGTTCATATTGTCCCAATATCCAAGTATCAGAATACCCACCTCTGTCTTCAGTGCCGGACATCACGGAGACGTGGGGCGAAAGAGATCGAGTAAGCAGAGCAGGCGGCAAAATCCACTTGGTTGCGTGCGCGCTGCAAGTAGCAAGGCAGTTTTAGACTATTTAGTCATCCTAGACAACGTAAGGTAAGCCGCACTCTAATTCTCTTCAGTTCTGATGCATCACTTGGCAGCAGCCAGTGGGGGCTTCGGACTGTCTGCTCATTGGCCAGGCTCATGCTGACTGCAGCTTCATTTGGTTATTCGTTTTCTAGTCCAATCATGAAGACGTATTTGAACATGCACGCAAAGATCGCCACGGGTACTTTTTAAGATAATCACGAGATTGTATGCCGAAAAGAGGCGCTGGTCTCATCGGTGCCTCCAGTCACTTCCTTGCCTTCATGGGTAATGACAGCATCGTTGCGATGGATCACAGGTTAACATCAGCCCGTATTTGATTGTTTACCTATTTCGTGTTGGCATTCTTTTGTTAGCATGTTACATTGAGGTAGTTGGCGATCTTGGAGGTTGGTCGATGATCCACCGGAACTTATGATGAAGGGCTTATTGTGCATTCGATAAGCATTTGGTCTAGACGATCTGCACCTTTGATCATATACATTTACCGAAAATATTAGTCTATTCTGTTTTGGAAGGTTCCGGGTCCATACCCTGGTGAAACGATGAGGGAACACTCCCTAGATCCCCAAGTAGCTATATTTCCCGCAAGTCCTGAACAGCTAAGGTAGCGGGAATTAAAGGAACAAATATAAATGAGTGTATCTCAGCTATTGATGCTATATCTCTGATAATTCCTTGGTGGCCTTCTGACTCACTCACGGGTGGCTTGGTTCTCCACGATGAACACATATGCGACCTGATTCGGATGTGGCTACGAAGCAACTTGCACTGCTAAGGCACACACATCCAGGAAACGTTAGCCAACATTTGCCTCCAAACAATACTCTGAAAGTATAATTGTGTATTTGCATACATCCTTCTCAACGAACACTCCGAGCAGCGGTTTGATCATAGTCACAATCTTTCATGTGCCGCAAAGGCCAAGAGCTGGCCGAGGGTAGTCAAGTCCAATGAGGGAAGGCTGTATTTAAGCATGGTTGCGTGAATGTGGGAGCATTGGTCTAGAAAGGGCCTCTCAGCTTAGACGTAGAGCCAGCCAAGTCTAGTACTAACATCATTAATTCACGTGTTCCATTTCTTGGGCGCAAATAATGTTCACAGCTAAGGTCGATGAGATAGAGACTCTGCGAAAATACCTTACTTCATTAAGTAGCTTCTGGCAATCAGGCAGAATGTCAAGAGTAATACGTCCAAATTTCCGTTAACAGCGTTGTCGCAAGCCTGCGAGATCATCCATTCGGGCTAACGCTTGCTTCTTGTAAGCCTACCGGCAAGTCCTCAATGATGTAGAAGTCATTGCATGGCTGGTTTACTTGACATGTAGCGAGCACTAAGTACTGGGATACCCGAGAACTACGAGTTGGTAAACTCAACATTTGATGCTGAGCAAAGAGATCTCTATTGCTCGCAACTAAGGGGTAAGGCCTGCAAGTGAAAAACTGCAGTTTCGTCTAAAATTCGAATTGTTAAGGCGCTGTACGGATACCATTGCAGAAGCACTCGCGTTTGTTCCTCTCTCAAACTTCACCCAGTCGGATGTTACTGGCAAACTACTATCTGCTATCAACAGTGGCACCGCTTAGTACCTCCCCCAGAATACTGACCAAATCGTTAAAGACGGATACTCGAAACACGTACAGCAAATTCTGCAAATGCACCAACGTAATTCCACGGCCGATATGGAGCTTCTTTATAGGGACGGTGGACGCTCAGTAGTGAATATCTTGATGCACCCCTCAAGCCGTTAGGCTATTGGAATTAACCTCATCGACCCCTTCGCGCCCCCAGTCATTGAACCTCGCTGTCTCTCCTACTCTTACGACGGGCAAATGGAGGTTGAGTCACTACGGTCAACCGAAACTCCTTGCCACGCAGCAAGTCCAAGCTCTTGGAGCAACGGAAACGCTGCCTTGGGTCATTGCCCTGAGCGACTCTGACATTTTGGAATTCGTTGAAGGAGTCAGCGCTACAGAGTATCACTATACTGGGACCTGCGCTATGCTTCCCAGGCCACTTGGTGGTGTCGTGGATTCCAACCTTAATGTGCATGGGATCGATGGCTCGAGGGTAGTCGATGCTAGTATCATGCCTTTACTTCCATCGGCGCATAATCAGGCGACGGTCTATGCAATCGCTGAAAAGGTAAATTTGCGCCCCTACGCATGAGATGGCTCGAATGTGAGCGAGACTAGTGCAGTGACTTTAGTGCTGACTGACTTCTCTTACACAGGCAGCGGATGCTATTTTACAGCAATATTCTTGATGAGCGTGGCGAAAGACGGATTACTTGAAGACGAAGGAATAGACGAGGGGAGTTTGGACAACTGTCTTGTCGAGATAATCATTGGCTGATAGCTCCTCTACTCACTCAAATTCCCTGGGTTCGGCGGCGCAGAGAGTTTGTTTTACTTCTGTGACTGGTGCAACCTGCTGTTACATTTGCAATGACTTGGCAACCCTGCCTATCGCTAGAAACGTCGTATTTCAGGAGGTGCTCGCCCACTTTCACCTGGGAAATCTGATTGGTAAATTACTCTCGAGTGCCTCGAATTCTCGCCATGATCATTTCTCAGAAAATGATTATAGGCACAGCCGTTCATGGCCTGTGAGAGTTACGGACAAAGGGACGGCAGACAGGGGAGGGATGGGAAATGGAAAATCATGTGTGCACCAGAGGGCTGGGCCGGAATAGCGGTGCCGTCTTCTGCATGTCAGCATGTCCCGCCGCAAGGATGTGCTACTCGAACCAATGATGACCACTACCGATTCTTGCGAACAGGGGACCGAGGCCCCGCATCGACCGTCTTAACCAACCAGCTGGGACGATGACTTCAGCCAGCTGGCCGTTGTGTCTAGTGCTTACTCCGGGGCTGAGTTGCTGGAATAAGTCTTCCAGACCTGCTGTTCCAATGTTGAGCATTCAATGTCCTGGTATTGGAGAATGGCTCCCGCTTTCTTTTTGTTTTCCTTTCGAGGTGTAACTAAATCTTGGGATGAAGCGATAGGGTTCCGGGCCTGCTTTACTAATTCCACTAGACTGGTAGATGGCGTCGGGGCGAACCTTAGTCTAGCTATAACTTGGCACAGATGATCGAATGAGATGCCAACAACTTTCAGCACTAGCATATCCGCTAGCAGTTCATATGACCAGCACGCTCCAGCGAGCGGGAGAGCCTTACGGCCCCGGTCTCCCAAGACAATTTGAATCATTTGTTGCACTTGTTCCATTATGGAGAACTGCAGGGGTTACACGTGATACTTGCTCCTGCGCAGGGGCTGATTTTGGCTGCCTAGCTGAACTGCATTTTGTCTCAGCCAGGCTCGGATCAGGCTGGCTGTCAGCACTGGAGAAAGCCCTTGATAAATCAGGCTCTCTGCTAATCTCTTTCTCCTTCGATATTTCAAGAGAGTTTTAGTCACTATACTCACTTTATTTGTATCTTGGGGGCTCAATGTCCCTTTTCACAATCGTTCCGAGTGCCTAGAGGAGCAACGTCAACTGCCTGCATCCAAGTTGAGGGATCTCGCCAATATGTCGTCATCTGACCCCACAAGCTCATCCGGCAGCGACAGTGACAACAATGACAACCAAGTTGAGTTGATCGTAGCGGTTGTGGCATTGGTAATTTCAGTTCTCGCCTTCATCATTGCGATTTTCCAGGCCCTCCAGCAATACTACGCGTCGGCAACGGGCTACTCATCATGCACTCCAAAAGTCATGGGAGATTGGGCGAGGTTCACACGACGACGATTCAAATGGTACGAGTTCCGCTTTGAGGTGGAATTTGAAGTTCCCGTCATATTCGTTGCGCCGCCGACGAACCCGCGGGGACCCCTCGGCGTGCACGACGACAAGGAGATTACCTACATGACCGGAACAACAGATAGTTACAAGAAAACGTATACCTGGGACCAGGAAGAGTACGACAAGCACTCCAAAACTTTGAGGGCTGGGATGACGCGCCAAGCTATCCACACCGCCGACAACGAGCTCGCAAACTGGACGAGTCTGCTCATGGCTATTCAGCGTATGGAGAGGGAGTCTCGAACATGGCAGGATAAGGAGTATTTCGGATACAACCCTCAATGGGAAGCCCAGACATCGTGTCACCCGACCCAGGCCAGCACCACGGTACCCTACACTCTTACCGTTGGCATGCAGAGGAAGAAGAAGTCTTGGGATAGTATGCCAGACAACATGAAGAAACCTTACGCAACGACAACGATCTCACATCTGGTGGAAATGGCGGCAATGTTAGGCGTTCATTGGAAAGAGTTTAACCGAAACGAAGACCGTTACCGAGGGCAGGGCAATGGGTTCAGCATCACCGGCTACGACGTCGACGATCTCGGTGTTGTGTTTACATTCGAGAAGACTGGTCCGACTTGGTTTCACGAGAACAGGGTAGTGCCGAACAATAAGGTCAAGGAGCTCTGCTTTGGTTATTGTCCGACGATTTTCCGCCAGCAGAACAACGACAACTACAAGTACGCTGACGAACCAAAGGATATCGGAACGCTACAGCTTGGCAGCATGTCGGCCATTGCAGAGACTCTAGTGGTGATCGGTTGTAACACTAACACTGTCCGGCATTTCCGAAAGTCTACTCCAGATACAAGACACATCCATCTCTTCCCAAGTAAGTCTTGCCAAGAATCATTATATTCACGAGATTCGAATACTGACTGTTACGTTTTAGTTGCTTTTGAGATCCTAGGCATGGTGGGTGCCGTCCTACAGATCCCCGGCACGGCTTTCCGCATGCTTCCCAACCCAACCATTTGGCATTGGGACCGGAAGTCATTTTCACTGAGGACTTTCCTCAGCGACTACGTCCACATAGTGGGTGAGTCGGCAGCAACAGAACCAATGCTCAGAAGTACAGAAGGATCTCGAATTAGCGTGATTCTCAAAGAAGCCGGCAAAATCGAAGACAAGTTCGAAGAGCTCGAATCTCGTGACGGCCCGGAAGCGATTCTGAGACGAACAAACAACACCGAGGAAAGAATCTACTCCAATGACCTCGTCATGGCTTTGCATTCGGCCATTTCGAAATGCGACGAATTCCTTCAGAGTCAAGAGAGGATAAACCTTGTCCAAAACGTGCTCCGCGTGCACCTGCAAGAAATCTTGCGTATTTTGAACGACAAAGAAGGGGAATACAAGACGGTTGTGGTCACTACAGGAGATCATGCTCGGTCAAAGAGGGACTCAAGACACGACCTTGTTGTTCCAGGAGCATCCCCTATCTTGAGGACGCGAGAGGAGAACGAGGAAATCGAGAAGGAGATATCGCTCCTTCAGAAGCTGGATTCCGCGTCTTCGAGCGAGAGGCATGGTGTTCTAGCCGAAATTTACCTTCTCTCGGTGCGCAAGCGGGTCATTGATGTTGTTTGCAAACAGCTGCGGGTTGATAAAGCTCGTAAAGAGCGTGGAGCTAGATCGATCATCTCTGATGCTTCCACAGAGGTGATCGCCCACGACCAGCAACAGCAGATCAATGATGTGTGGTGCATGCTTGTCTTCCGCATGGTATGCTGGTTGCTTCTGCATGATTTCCATGGTAAGGATATCCAAGTTGAGAAGAGCGAGATATTTGGAAGCCGTCTGCCGGTTTACATCACATAGGGTTGGGATGTGGTCATGAAGTATAACACGAATTATGATGGAATGGGAAAATGTCTCAATAATGAAACTGTACATTTCTTGACTGATCTTGTTCACTACACTTCATGGCTCCTTCTGGGTTTGTCATCTCTGATGTCCCATGTAATTTTCATCTACTTTCAGGACTGGCTACCTATTAATATGGCTTCGCTTGCCCAAAAGGACATACACGCGACCCTAGAAATTACACAAGCGCTAATTATCAAATATCTAAGCCCCATTGGTGCCATTGGTGCCGTTCTCACGCTTCTTCAACTCCTCGCGGACCGCAGGCAGAATATAGCGACCATAGTCAATAGCATCGTTGAGGTTGTCATATCCACGGATAGAAATCAACTCAGCACCAAGATCGACATAGTCCAAAATGGAGTCGTTGATGGTCTTGGGAGATCCTACCAGTGCCGTAGAGGCTCCGCGAGCGTTAGTCGCAGTGACGGTGGGGTACCACAACGCCCGGTCCTGAACCTCGCCCTTCTTAGCGATGTCAAGCAGACGCTGCGAGCCGACATTCTGAGGCTCGGGTCCGTTCTGACCAGGCTTGCCCTGTCCGGCAGAAATGTTTCCCTTGAGCGCATCGAGCGTGCGGTGTGCCTTGGCCCATGCAAGCTCCTCCGTCTCGGCGATGATGGGACGGAAGGTAACCCAGATGCGGGGCCGGTCCTTGCGGCCGGCCTTCTCGGCCTCGGCGTAGATGCGGTCAATCTGTTCCTTTGTCTCCTTCAACGGCTCACCCCACAGTCCGAAAATGTCGGCGAGGGAACCACCAATACGGTAGGCCTCAGGGGATGAACCGCCAACGGAAACAGGAATTGTGCCCTTTGTCGGGCGGACGCTGCTGTGAAAGTCTCTGAAGGTGTAGTACTTGCTCTCCCAGCTGAAGGGCTCCGGTGATTCCCACGCTCGGCGGAGAATCTTGATGTAGTCCTCAAGGCGGCCATACCGCTCGTCCTTGGAAAGGAAATCACCCTCCTTGGCTTGCTCTGCATCGCTTCCGCCGGCAATGAAGTGCACGACGACACGGCCCTTACTGAGTTGGTCGAGTGTTGCCAGGGCCTTCGCGGCAACGGTGGGGTAGAGGGTGTTTGGCCGCAAGGCGATGATGACGCTGACGTTCTTGGTGACCGCTGCGATGGTCGCACCAATTGTGAAGGGATCAAATGAGTTTGAGCCGTAAGGAACGAGTGTGTAGTTGAAGCCGTAGTCGTCCAAGTTCTTAGCGTAGCGGACTAGGAACTCGGGATCAACGCCAGCACCAGGGATCGGGTTGATCTCCGTTGAGGCGTTGGGGAAAGTTACGCTGATGAACTCGGTCGGCATTTTGCTAAGTGTTTTCTTGGGTTTGGGTATCAATACTGCAGAATAGTCTTCTTCCTGAAATTGCTATTCGTGAATTATGTGGTCGCCTATATACATCCGTTGCACGATATGACGACAACTGCAAGATAATCACGCCTTACACCCCGAGCCGAAATCGGCAAGGGGTTCCCCAGTGAGATGTCACCATAACCCCATCTAAATCCAGCACACTTGATCATTGTGGCAAAGAACATCTGGCGCCTTTATCGTTAGCTGTTTTGGAGAGCCTCAGGAAAAAATCGCCAATTCTTCAACGTTGCTTGTTGTCGGGCGGGATGCGATCGGTGCTCGGCTACTTGGCGGTGCGGCCCCAGACCGGGCCCGTTCCGTCAAGATATGCCAACCAGACCACATCAAGGCCAGAGACCATGATCAACTATTCATCAGTAACTCTCAGCCTCTGAAACTGCCGAAAACACCTATCAGCACCGACTTACCCCGCTCCATGTCAACACGCAATTCTCAGGATCAGTTCCACACATCCACAACTTGGGGCCAACGTCGGACATGCCCGCACACTTGAAGCTCCGAACGCTCGACATTGGCTGATTAAGGAGGCGCAGTACCTCCGACGCGGATTCTGTCGTGCCATTAATTACAAATCAATGATTGTGCAACAGACAAATAATCATGATGATTTGTCAACAGATATGGAAACATACTCCGGGCGCACCACCACAAGTTGCAACCCCTCTTCCGTTCAGAGCCAAGGTTGCTCCGAGGGCGGTCTTCATTGACGGATCGAATCGAAAACGATTTAACATGTTAAGTTCGGGACCATTCATCTTTATGAAATATTGTCTACATAGCGTTGAAGTTGTGCTTTGCAACCGTTCGATGATGAATACGACTCAATTGCAATGCATACAATGAGCAAGATAGAGTCTTCAAACTTCGACGTTCACTATAAATCGCCCAATCACTACGAATGGAAACACCACGATAATTGCCCAAACATTTTGAATCCTCAATAAATGGAATGGAATCCATTGATATTTGCACAGTCCGATTCACCTGAGTTCGGAAGGAAGCCAAAGCAATGAATGCACTCCACAGATGAAAGCGACGTCTTGATTTTGGAAGTTTATCTATAATACAGCTGCACGAAATACCATGTTGTAAAATAATATTCACTCTAATACTCTATAATCAAGTCGAAAAGTGAATAAAAAAGTAAATTGTTAGGGACTAGTAGTTATGCGTGTTTGAGTCCTTCGAGAAAGACGTTGAAACTCCGGAGGCCCTCATTGCCCCTTTATCTTGAGTGATTGAAGCCGAGAAAGCTGAGAGTCGGGTTTTTAGGAAGACTTCTTCTTCCAAAGTTGAGCAAGGGAGTGCTTCTTCGGCACCCGAGCAAGCCAATACAGGAACAAAGCTGCAAACAAGTTGAAGATTATGTAGACCCACATCAGCCCGTACGACCGCCATCGTCTACCGTATGACGTAGATATGGTAGTCAAGAAAGCATCTGTCGTAGCCAGAGGGCAGAATTGACAGATGTCGGTGCTGTTGGGGTTGAAGACACTGCCGCCGGCCATTTGCATGTACGGGGCCATGTAATCACCACATGCGGTTCCATTCGCGGGACTGAATTGCAGCAGCTCGAGTTGAGAGCAGTTGACCTTATTGTGGGCCAATCCCGTTGACAAGAGACCTTCGACCAGGTAAGTCAAGGGTGAGACGCGGTACATGAACTTCCAGAAACCTGGCAGGGCATTGACCGGCACAATGACACTGTTGATTCGTGAGTTTGAAGACTTCAGGTTGATTAAATCGGTGTTGAACTTACCCGCAAAAGATCAGACACAAAGCAAAAAGTAGAAGAGAAAGAGTCGCTCCGATCTCTGCTGTGGGTACACCAGCGACAACCATATCGGCAAATGTTGACTCGAAGAGCATGAAGGCCCAGATGAGTAGGAACATGAGACCGCCACGTTCCGTAACCGCATCCGTCGGTATGGCATTGCGATACATGCCGACCAGATAATAGAATGGGAAAAAAATCACGATAGCAGCCAAGGTGTTCCAGGGAAGCTCGACAATGATGTTGACCAAGACGAACACATACCATGAATACGCTCTGGAGGCGCGTTCTCTCGCCTCGTATTGCTCGCGTTGCAGGATGAAGTTGGGCATCGTCTGATAGACGAGGAAGGCAAAGACCACCAACAACATGAAGATGGAAAACATCTGACTCTGGAGTCCTTGCATCGTGAGCGGTGAGTTGTAGAAGGACACCCCGATGAATAAGCTCTGTGCAAAGTGTAAGTTGAAGGTCCATTAGGTCGTTGACCAGTAAGCATTGAGACGTACCGTGCCACCAGACAAAATCAACTTGGAGTAAATGTACGAAGGCGTGCGCCAATACTGTTGAAAGACACGCTCAGTGCACAAGGCAAGCTGAACATGAAACGGCGCAGCATAAGTGGACATCTCATCGGGACTGGACGTCGAGCCATTCGCCGCCACGCCCTGCTCCAGACGCTCGAGCTCGCGGCGCATCTCGGCACACTCATGGCTCTCCTTCCAGGTCTCGGGCCAATCCCTCTCAGCCTTGGCGCCCGGAGCTGCGCCGATGACTTTGAGCATCCACTCGGCGGGGTTCTCGTCCTGTCCGCAGGGCGTTGCTCCGTACTGCTCAAAGTAGCTCGTGAGCACGCGGGAGTTCTCGCCAATGTCGCCAAAGTAGACTGTTTTGCCGCCATGTGCAAGGAGAAGAAGACGGTCGAATTGCTGGAATAGGAGAGCAGAAGGCTGGTGGATTGTCACAAGGATGGCTTGGCCGTTTTCAGAGAGCTTTCGGATCAGTGATGAGATTGACCATGCTGTCTGACTGTCGAGGCCCGAGGTCGGTTCGTCAAGGAAGAGAAGGAGATCAGGTTTCGCAGCGAGCTCGACGCCAATAGTCAGTCGTTTTCTCTGCTCAACGTTTAGGCCTGTGGTAGTACGGATTAGCTTAACAGTCCTTGAAAATGAGGTGCAAAGACCAGTTGAGGACTTACCTTCTCCGGGCACTCCGACAATGGCATCGGCATAGGCCTCCATCTCCAGAAGCCCAATCACCTCTTCAACATAGTCGTACTTCTCTTGCTTGCTGACAGCCGCTGGCTGGCGTAGCATGGCGCTGAATCGCAAGGCTTCCCTAACAGTGGATGTCTCGAGGTGGATGTCTTGTTGCTGAACGTACCCGGCCTTTCGCTGGAAAGACTGGTCTCTGAGAACACCATTGACGAGGATATCTCCTGTCACAACACCCATAGTCACCCTGTTAGCCAGGACATCAAGTAGAGTAGTCTTGCCAGCGCCAGTAGAGCCCTGAATCGATCGTCAGCAGAAATCCTTCTCTTGAATGGAGGTAGACTCACCAACAAAGCAGTCAGAGTTCCCGGCTTTACCCATCCGCTAGCTTTGTCAAGAATTCTGCGGTTGTTGCCCTTGATTGATATGTCGTAGCAAACATCTTTCCAGTGGAATACCGATTGGCTTTTATGAATTGCGGATTGTTTGACACCCGACTGAGGAGCATGTCCCTCGGACTTCTCATGTTGGTAAACGCGTTCAGGTTGGCCATTTTCTTCGTCGGATGAGTTTTTTGATAGTGTCGGGACCGAGTGACCACGCCGGAAGATCAACACCTCGCCCTTGGAGCGGTCTGTGGTGATGTACTCCGCCGCGAGCAAGTAAACGCACATGAAGAAGACGATGAAGGCAATCAAAATGCCGAAGTTCCTGAGTGACACGTTAAACTTTTTTGCGAAGAACCTTTCAAAAAAAACAGAACATACCTCCAAATGTGAGACTTGTAATAGCTGAAAGTGGCATTCATGTAGAAGTCACCGTCAACGAAGTCTGCGCCTGGTGCAGCGCCGGCGACCGAGCACGTCCTCTCGTTTGGCGCAGCGTTCGGGTAGGCCGGAACGAATGAGGGACAGGGGAACTGCCGACCATTGAACTCATTGGCGACCAGACTCTCGAAAGCGTAGGCTATGGGGTTGATGTAGTTGATCCAGCGGAGCCATCCCTTCATATCGCGGGTCGGGAGGATGAAGCCGGTGTAGATGACGAGCGATAAGATGAAGATAGCGGCTGGCGTCAAGGCTTGATGAATGGTACGGGACGTCTGGCCGATGGTTCTGATGATCATGGACATTGAAAGTGTAGTGGTAAAGCCGAAGAGGAGGAAGATAAAAAAGGCATCGGCCTCTTGGCGGAGCTTTGCCATGAAGTAGAGAGGAATATTGAAGGCCAAGGTAGAAAGAATCTTACTGGGAAGATCGCAGATCGTGGATGAGATTGCTTCGGAGGCGGGATGGTACAGAGCATAGCGAGCGTGCTTTTCGACAATAGGTCTCTGGACGTACAGCGTGAGGATCTGATCATCGCCATATTAGTAAATCTTTCTCGTCGTAGGGCTACTTGGAGGAGAATTCGAAACATACCTCAAGAGCACTGCTGAGACCGTTGAACAAAATCGCAAAGAACAACAGAATGCAACGAGAGTTCATACTTGACGCATCGGAGGGCAGGTCGAAGAAGATGCTTCCAAGAACCAAAGAGATGACCAAGTTACCACCAATAGTGACAACGAAGAACAGCCAGTCACCCAAGAGACGCTGGTACCCACGCGTCATGCACAACCAGATTTGCATGGGCATGGAAATAGTGTAAGGTGATTGCGGAGTCCTTCTCGACTGTTAGCAAATGATTATACCACGACCTCCTGCCTGCATCACCACTTACACAAGAGATGCTTTGTGAGCTTGGCGCGTCGCGACAAACTTTTCTTCCCCTGAGCCATCAAGAGGATGTTCCTCCTCAAAGGCAAATATCTCCTCCATAAGACTTGCCCTGACATCGCTTCCCTTCCATACTGTTGCAAACTCGTCTGGCGTTCTGGGCACTCTGTTCTCAAATCCTTCTCGCACCACTCGTTCTGCGGGGTTCGTGAGGGAAGTGAGGAAATCAGCGGTGGTTTGGCGGTCGGGGCAGCGGTAGCCCATGTCGACAAAGTATTGCTTCGCCAGCGCCGTGGAGCCAAAGTAGATCTGGCGACCTTCATAAAGAACCGCGACCTTGTCAAATACCTAGACGATTATAAGTCAACAACGATATATGGTAGATTTGGGATGGAGATACAGACATCATACGCCGGCTGCGAAGCCTGATACATCGCGACAATGGCCGAAGTTTTGGCCATGTCAGTAGACAACCGCAAAGTCCGAGCAAACTCCAATGCGGTAGCACTATCCAAACCGCGAGTGCTGTTGTCCCAGCATTGAATAGGGCTCTGGCTGAGCGTGACCTCCGCAATACTGACGCGCTTGCGCTCGCCTCCGCTGACACCTATGGAGAGTTAGTGGAGGTTGCCTCAAAGCTGTCAAAGGCTTGAGCCACTCACCACGAACGAAGTCGTTTCCGACCTTTGTGTTGATGGTGTGGGAGATGCCGAAAACTGCCATCACGACGTCCCGCAAGTGTTCGGCGTATCTCTGTCTGCTGACGCCAGGGAGTCGATTCTTTGGCGTTCTTGCTAGTGAGGCGAAAAGAAGTGTCTGTCCAACCGTGAGGTGGGGGAAGTGGATGTCTGTTTCGGCCTGATAAATCACTTCACCGCGAAATCGTTTGTGCATAGTTTCCATTGGGATGCCTGTTTGTGATGAATTTTGTCAGTCAGCTTTCGTGAGGACCTAGCATATAGCACCCCTAACAGAGTTTGGGAGGCATTGTTACTGACCCTGGTAACTGAAGTGTGAGTGATCCCCCAGATGAAGACCCTGAGTCTCACCAGCGATCGTCTTGAGCAAGGTAGAAACACCACTGCCGGGACGGCCCAGCACCAAGAGCATCTCACCACTCTTGACGATTCCGTCAAACTCTCTCAAGATGTCAATCTTTTGGCGACGGTTGCTGAGAGCCTGCTTGATCATCATTGGTGCTTGCCAGAGGACGTTAAGGACATCCTTCTGGTAGTCCGTGTCGGTGCCGTACCCATGAACACTCAGGTTGCGATACGCGACTCCGGCTTCAAGTCTTGGGTAGTCCTCGGGATGATGATATGAGTGCTGTAGAAGGGCTCGGGCCCACTTCTTGGCGTTGAACTCTTCGCGACAGCTTGGATCCAGGGCAGGGTGGTCCGATAGGAACGGGTTGATACCAGGGTCGAGTCTTGACGCTGAGCGAATAAGATCGAGACTGTAAGGCCTGACGAGCTCGTTGACCTGGGCATCGTTGGCTTCAATGTCCATGTCATTCCTCTGGTGATCGTGTTCCTGACTGGCTTTGGCGTGCAAGGTGTCATCCGACGGTTTGGACATGACGTTGCCGCTGTCACCCTGCGGGCGATGCATCTTGTGAGTTGATTTGATAAATGCGCAACAAGCAGATAAGAAAGAACCTGAGAATCGCAGAAGAGAGGAGGCTCAAGTAACGTCACCCAACGGGGGTCAATGGCAAGTTATATCCTAACAAGCTTCCCAAAAGAGGCGCCCACCTTGTTAAAAATAAGTTTTCACGTTCAACACAAGGCAGACATGTGAAAACAACAACACAGCTACGCATTTCTAACGTCAATACCTACTATCAACGGGTCGACATGGGCAGAGAGGCCCCGATGAGCAGGGACCAGATCACTAGCTTCACGTCACGCTGCCGAAGCTAACAGCTTCGCGAGCCGAGCCTGATGGTCGAATTTCCATGTTTTGGCTGCATATGTGCGGCTTTGCTGATGTAGAGCAGCCGTATGAATCAAGTCGGCGCCGAGGGAGGAGGACTAACGCAAAATGAGTTGACGATGTTGACGAGAAAGCACCCACACGCGCCGCAAAGATCCTGATTGCAGATCCCGGGATGGCGGCTTTGTGAAGTGGCCCGATGCGTACGCAAAGTTGCCCGATCCGGTATCTCGGCGCCGAGGCTCTACACCCACATGGCAGTCGAACTTCTCCAAATCTCCACTCTCCTAAAAGGCAAATAAGGAGCCGAGCTCCTTTCACCATGAGCTGAATTGTCTTGGTCCCCCCGTCCCCTTGCGAACCACATCCTCGCATACTTACAGACCTCGTCTCCGACCTACTCGTCTTCGTTTCTCGGTGTTGTTTTGCTTCTCAGCCTGCATTTTCATCTCATCCTCTGCGAGCCGAGAAGATGACTGCTGATAAGCCCGCGCCCAGTCCTACGGGTGTTGGTGCTGGATCCCGAACCCACAAATCCTGCGATGCTTGCAAGTCACGCAAGGTCCGCTGTCCTAGTACGTGACTCGGGAGAGCTCATTGTCATTCCTATTCTTCATTCACGAACTGACGAGTTGATTTTATCCATAGGTAACGGCCCGCCCGGACCTTGCGCGAATTGTATCGTGAGTAAACCCAAATGGATTCTCTTCCCCGACAAAGACGTGCCCGTTTACTCACAAACTTTGAAACTGGAAGCGTCGAAAAGAAGAGTGTCGCTTCAGTGTAAAGAGGCTAGCCCACAGGCGCAACGGTAAGCACTGGCAACTGAACACCCACCATATCACGTTTACACTCCTTTGATGAGCAAGCACAACAACTCCGGTCGATTTCTATGGCAAAGGATTTCAAAGTACTAAGTAAACTATCAGTTGCCGGACAGCTTCTCCCAACAAATTATTCGCCATCGAGCAATCGACCACCCAGTCTCCCAGACGCCAAAGCCGTGCTAGACTTGTCGACATCAGATGGAGAGACCAAGCCACTCGTCCTCCCTGATCGCACGTCGCCAAAGTCTCCTCCCCACCGCATCCAAGAACTCCACGTCGATCGCGTCCTAGCACGAGCACAGAGGCCAAAGACCTCTACTGGAAGAGGCCAGGAGGAAACCATGTTTGTACCAGTAAGCACCACTAGTCAAAATTCCAAAGCAATTGATCGCAGAGGTGAGCGAACTGTAAGCTGACAGAAATCTCACAGCGCAATGGCATATTTGGTATTGAAGCGCCACATGCCCTCAGTGGCCTGCACGTACTAACAGATCAAGGGGGCCGGAACAGCCTCACGTTCTTCTCCGACAACAGGCTACTCTCCCTGTCGACGCGCCTCCAGAATCAGAAGGTGAACGAGCTCGTTGGTCGAATTTCTGTCATTGTCAATGGACGTCTTCGTCGCACCGACTCGGCAGCGACGAATCCCCGGAGGACGCAACCTCCCGATATGGGGACCGACAGAGCGCGTGCCGCCTTGTACATCCGCCGTAATTATTTACCATTCTCCCTTCTGTGACCCTCCATTGAAGTTGGCGAAAGCTGATCATGATCAGTCTACTTTGAGCGAGTGCATCCCATGTTCCCGTTCCTTGACCGGACGACTTTCGAGACTACGGTGTCAAGTCCCAACTTCCCCAATCTCCTCGAACGCAGCAAGCCATGGTGTTGTCTCTACCACAGCGTCCTTGCTCTAGGGTCCCAGTATGCTGATGGGGGGACATTCGAGCCTGGTAAGGGCGAGTCGTGGCGGCTGTTCTCTATCAGCTTGAGCGGCTTCTCAGAGCTCCTGCTGCTTCCTGATTCTCTCACCACCTTGCAGGCATTGACGGCCATGTCTGTCTATGGCTTAGGGATCTCGGGCTTGGCTGTTGAGCCTGTCATTATGTCAGAGGCGGCAAGACGGGCTCAGATGATGTCCAGTCATAGCTTTACTGGTCCAACGGCTCACGCTTACCAGAAGTCTTTCTGGATTCTATATGCGGTTGAGAAAATCACCAGCTTCCACTTTGGGAGAAGTTCTGTAAGTGCTTGGAATTTCCCTCTCTTTACCACGATAGCGTCATACTATGATGGATGCACACTTCTTGTTTACTTGCTCTGCACTGCTGACAACGACAAGGGATTTGTCGATAGCGACATATCCTGTCCCATCCCCGTCGTCCCCGAAGCAACATCGGGTGACTTTAGCTGGTTCCTGCACCTAGTGCGTTTCGCTCGCCTCCTTTCTCGAGCATATACATCACTCTTCTCGGTCGGCGTGTCGGGCAACTCCGACTCGTACTATCTCGACGTAATTGACCAATTAAACGGTGAACTCGAAGAATGGAGAGCATCTCTGCCAGACAATGGCTTCCGCCCGGGTGGAATTCTACGCCCTCAAACCGTATCCGGTCCTAATGCGAGATCACTCGCTCTCATTCTTCATTATCTTTACTACAGCATGTTACTGACTCTTGCAAGAACTACGCTGTGCTATTTGCCTGTCCCTGAGACGCCGGCGGTGAAAGCGACAAAGGACGACAAGATGAAGACCATTTTGAATGCATCGAGGGCAATTTTGGAGTTGACTACGATGATTGAAGTTGAGCCATACACGGTCACATGGTAAGTAGAGAGCAAACTTCGAACTACACGTTTTCCCGCCGTTATCATCAGATCGGTGCTGATAGCCCGTAAGGGTCCTTGCGGGAATCCCTATTACCGCACTTTTTGTCTTATTTGACCTTGTGATTCATGATCCTCGGCAGCCAGATACAGGCACCAACCTGGCTCTGCTCGACATGGTCGCTGGTCACTTCAGTCGGATAGAGTATGCCAGCGGCGGCACCGTGCCCGGTTCTTTGATAGCCGAGTTCGCCAAGATTGCGCGAGACTACGTGAACGAGATTCAGCATGCCGAGGCTGGTTTGATGAATCCTGCGAGACCTCATGCACCCACAAATCCTTCCACGATGCAAATGGTACAGCAATCGTCAGAGCTTGATGCCAGAAACAATAAACAAGTGGATAGGCCAACTCAGATGACTTTGGATCTATCTGATGTAAGTTCTCGGCCTCACAAGGTCTGCCATTCATCAAGGAAAAAAGCGTCTAATCATCATCTGCGTTAAAAGACTCTGCCGAGGGAGGCCATGATGTCTGGTCCGATGCAGCAACCAGGATACACCGACTTTGCGTTCGACAGCGGGATGGGCCAGGTATCTCCTAGTGCGCTCATGGGAACCGACGTGATGGGAATCTTTAATTATTTCCTGCCCGATCTGGACCCGATGTTTTACCAGGGTATGACGCAGGAGTACGATCTGCTACCACAGCAGCATGGAGGGACCGTTCAGAGGATGGACAAGTGAGATGATGCGGACGGGGTCTAATTCTTAATCTCCGTCCGTTTGCCAGGCCGGATGCAGCATGACATAACCTTATTTTGGAGCTATAATAATGCGTGCCCACAACGGATACTAGCAGCTACCTTAGTTGCTACGCCCGGCAGTCGAGATCGTTGCCAGGCATAATGATGAAATGCTTATGAAGAACAAAATCGAACGTTCGCTGGAGCACTCCCCCGGGATGGGAAAGCAGGCAAGACTACGTGTGTGGATGGGTGGGAGATCACTTGTTCTTCGGTGGCAGTGAGCTCCGGGATCCCGGGCTTCGCTCCGGTCCGCTGCAAGGATTAGCCGGGTCTCGGACGGTCCAATGCAGCCTAGCGTCTCCTCCAAAGTCCGTTTGGTGGATCCCCAAATGTCGTGGCCCCCTGTCTTTTTTCCCGCAGAAAAGCGGCACGTTTAAAAGAGTGTTGCCGCCAACAGAGCAGAGCTCGGAAGAGAAACATATCATGCGATGAACGACAACAACTCATACACTTCTCTAATCTCTGACGAGCCCCATATTCTCATCTGTAGATCTTGATGGCCTCCGAAAGCCCAGCTTCACAGGCGAGTACTCCGGTAGGCGACAAACCACGCAACGTCTTGGCCTGCGTCTTTTGTCACCAGCGCAAAATCAAGTGTGACCGAAAGTCCCCCTGCGCCAACTGCATAAAGGTTGGTTTGTCATCATCTCACTCACCCTTCAGCCGATGGACCCGAGGTCTACGCACACCCACACCGAGGCGCAACGCATACTCACTGATGTGATCACCATAGTCTGATCAACCGTGCGTGCCATCGACGCGAGCACCACCAGGAGCTGGTAGAAGACGCGTGGTGAAGGACCTGTTGGAGAGATTGAATCAGTGTGAGAGTCTTCTGAGCCAGGTGGCTCCGCGCGATGCCGATGGCCGCCCCGTAAATCCCGACACGCCGGGTTCCTCACGCGATGTGGCGGACAGCCCGGCAATGTCCCACATAAGCTACGAAGAAGCTCGGAAACAACCCAGCTCAAGACCGAATGGCAAGATTGTCTGCGATGAAGGTCGACCAACATTTATGGAAAATCCGTTTCGCGGCAATGTTCTTGACCACGTAAGTGCACTGTATTTCGATCAAATCATAAGTCCCACCCCAGTAAAGATCTAAGTGGAATCTAGCTTCAATTCTCCAAGCTCAGTCTCGAAGACAATGACACCGAGCAATCAACGAACCCGTCTGGTTCGACTAGCGTCTCAGAACGCGGCGACTCAATTCACCAAAAGTCTATGGACTTTGACATATTAGCTCTGGGACCAGTCGAAGTTCTGCGCCTGTGGCAGGTATTCCTGGAACGAGTCAACCCTATGATCAAGGTCATTCACGTACCTAGCCTGGAACCTCTAGTCTTTGAAGCAGCAACAGACCGCTTCAACCTGAGCCCCGACCTCGAGGCCCTGCTCTGCTCCATCAACGTTGTTGCAATCATGGCCTTGTCGGAAGCGGAATCAATCCAGATGCTCAAACTCGAAAAGGCAAGAGCATTACGAAATTCAATGTCTGCACTGAAAAAGGCCATGTCCAAAGTGGACTTTTTACGAAAGTACAATATGACCACTTTGCAGTGCTTAGTGCTATACCTGGTAAGATGTCAGTCCCACACAAGTATGACTCAGATCTAACTGCAGGCTAGGTGTCTCTTCAGGGGCAATTCGATCGCCACGCCGCATGGGTGTTGACCGGCATGCTAGTCAGGATAGCTCAAAGGATGGGTCTTCATCGCGACGGAGAACTCATAGGTCTTCAACCATTCGAGACCGAGATGCGCCGCCGAATCTGGTGGCAAATCATCATGCTAGAAACAAAATACGCCGTCCTCGCAGGCTTCGGCGACACGCTCCTCCCGCCTAACTGGGATACAAAACTCCCATCAAACGTCAACGACGCCGACTTACTGCCCGGCTCAACAGAGCCGGTCAAGTCTCGCGATGGAGCAACCGAGATGGCATTCTGCCTCATGCTCTATGAATCACGCGCCTTCTTCTGCGACAATCCCATGCCGGAGTTCGAATCAGTCATCCTCAGCGGGGACAAGATCAGCCCGGAGAACTCAAGGAAATTCTCCGGTCAACCACATGTCCTCGACAGGTATCGACTCGCGTTAGATCAATACGATGAGAGACTCGCTGTGGCCGAACGACGGTTCTGCAACCCGACGGCAGGCGGCATACATCTCGTTGCGAGTAAGATCCGGTCTTTCACGGCGCAGAGGATGCGCGACATGATTATGCACGCGCGAGAGCCATGGGACGAGAACAAAGACGGCGGAGCGAGCCAGCAATCCTTCTTCAGAGCATGGGTCATTTCCTTCGAGAGCGACGTTAGCTGGTACGACACGATCGACGACAAGTTCACCTGGTACCTAAAACTCCATTTTCAATCTGACGCTTTCTCCGTCATGATTGAGCTCCTACAGTGGCAGCCCGTCGGAACACTGGTTGACAGGGCATGGAAGGCCATCGACCGACTCTATCACCACCACCCGGAGATGTACGACTTGACTAGGAAGGACAACTTGCTGCGCGCGGAAAACTTGCTTGCAGGGTGGGCACGACGGGAGCTTGCGTTCCGAAATCTAGGCATGTCGTGTGACACGCCGCTCGTTGTGGCACGGTTCCGGAGCAGCGAAGTTTTCAAGCAGAGACAGCCCGACGGTTTGCCAGTTGAGCAGTGGCCGGCACCGACGCCGGACACCGCGCTGTTCTCTGACATGAGTCCATCCGACTTTGAGACGTTTGATGGCGGGATGCCTGGAGATACTCATGGTCTTAACTTCAGTCTTTGGGGTGGTGGTGGGCCGGGGCAACATGCTCTATGATGAAGGTCCGGCTGGTTTATAGGTAGTAAATGGCTTGGGGAAAGGGGGTTGTGCGTTTCAAGCACACGACCATGACTTAATGACACTGAAGACGGCTAAAGGGTAGACTGTACCCAATAAGGAGTTTATCCCCTCAATTCAAGGGTCTTTAGGGCTCTTGGAATATCTTCGAATCACCTCTCAAAATTCACGGATAGATGTTTTGTACTTGCTCTGGCCTGGTTTATCGAGATGCTATAGCAAATTTATGCGCGGGCTTCACGCGCAACTGGCTTCAAGTAGACATTCAGCGGTATTCTATCCCACAAACCAAATGCTCTTTGCCTCTGAATCCAGGACCCGTTTCCTTCGGCCAGTTGAAGATCAAAGTCAAAAACGATTCGGGCTAAAATCAACCTCATCTCTGCATACGCGAGACTGTTTCGCATAGGTTTCAGCGTCAGCGGCGATAATGGTTCAATATATAGATGAGGAGTTCTTACTTCTTCCCAATGCAGTTGCGTGGGCCAACGCTGAATGCTTGAAGTGCGTCTAAATGGTTGTGTTCCTCTTTGTTGGTTTCCAGGAAGCGCTCCGGCCTGAACTCCCAGGGCTTGGTCCAGTTATCTAGACTATGGTTTGCGGACCATTGCTGGATCTCGACGAAAGTCTTGGAGGAAAGTCTGGATTAGTCTCCTGATGGGAACCTCGAAAAGGAGAGTTGGTGCACAAGGCTACTTACTCCTTGAGGCACATGCTCTGCACCAATCTGACACCCAAACTCCGGTACCTCTCGAATGAGGTTTGACGTCACGGGAGGATACATACGCAAAGCTTCATTGAGAACAGCGAGCATGTATGACAACTTGCTCACTGAGTTGATGGTGATCTCGCTAGAGTCGCTAAAGCTCGATCGGACCTCCTCGTTAAGTTTCTGCAGGACCTTGGGATTTCTCAACAGAAGATATGTTGTGCCGGCCAGAGTTGTAGCCGTAGTTTCCGAACCGGCGAGGACGAGAATGAGACCATTAGCTGACAGCTGCTCAAATGAAAGGTTCTGTGCACACAAAGTTAGCGTAAATTCACCTCCACGAGGAGTGGCTTTGGGGGGCCACATTCCCATTCTTCTTTCTTTCTCAAGAGTCCCTCGAACAAATCCTTCCGGTCAGGATCCATATCAAGACGCGTTTGCATCATCTTATCGGTGCTCTCACGTAACTGCATCATCGCAGCAAGACCACCGATCCGGAAGAGGCCTTGGACAACAGGATCAAGGCCAATATACTTCATCGCTGTCATGATGGCATTGTATCGGATAGTTTTGAAGATGAAGGCAATCCAGGGATGGTAGTCTGAGCGATCGAGACAGCCAAACGATTGCGCAAAGATTAGGTCGCCGGCAATATCGAACGTTGTCCAGTTATACCAAGCCTCTACATTAAGCGGCGCTTCTTTCCCGTCGCAGTTCTCATGCAAGCGAGAAATCAGTTTATCGATGTACTTCATGATAATGCCTTCTTGCGCTCGCATAGAGCTATCCGAGAAGCCATGAGATAGCGCCCGCCGGTACCGCTGGTGCTCTTCACGCTCGGCATTGATGATGCTCGTGGGCAAATTCTTGATCGTCGTTGAGAAGAGCTGCGACTTGGGGATCTCGTTTTCCGCCAGCTCTTTCCCGATTTGAAAGCCGTAGATGTCTTTCCAGGCCGTCACATCGGTGAAAGACAGGTGATTTGGGCTGATTCGGACTATGGGGCCATATCGGTCGTGGAGGAGCTGGGTTCGAAAGGCTTGATAGCCTGTGGCATGTTGCCAGGCCCAGATTAGAGGAGAAGCGCGTTGAAGGACGGGTCCTGGAAACCTTCGTAGGGGATGGAGGAAGAGGTTGTAGCCGGCTACGAGGAATTGCCAGAGGACGGCCTGGCAAGTCAGCCATGTGATTCTTCACTGAGGATATGATATACTCTAATCTTGTGTAGGAATGCTAGTCACTTACTGTACCAAAGGCAATAGCCAGGATATGAGAAGGATGCTCAGAGAGAATGGACAAAACACCCGCCATTTCCGTAGTCAAATCTGGAAGGGTTAGCTTCTCAAATTCTGTGATAATCTTCTTGCGTCAATGAGAAACATCAACCCCGCGTTGGCGTTGACGCGTTGTTTATGTAGATTCATCCCGAGTACGAGCCTTTCCGAGCTCCTCCCCTGGTGACAAACATGTTCGCTTCTTGCCCAATGAACACACCACTTGGTTCTGCGTCAAACAATCAGTCACCTTCCATTAAGGGGACGGGCTCTGCCCTAGGCGCAAAAAGTTTGGGGTCATCGGACGGTTGTTTCAATACCACGTTTCTTGCGCGGACCAATCCACTGTCCGGCTTTGTCACATTCATGCATGCAGCAACCGTAAATATGCACGGGGGAGTTTGAGACGGTTGGCCATCTGCGAGTGTTACTCCGCATTGGTGTTGCACGACTTGATGTCCTGGTCATTGCCTTCCAGCATGGGGCACTCGTAACATTGTGGAATCAACGACAAATGAGAGTGAGTGCGCAAAGATGGCAAGCAAATGAGAGGCATAAGTTGGAGATTCTTGCTCTCTTGAACGATTAGTCGCCTTTCAACAGAGCTTACAAGCCCCAGACTTGATTACTTTCCCAGTGCGAGATGACAGAAGGCAAAGCCACATGGAGATCCTCCCGCGGCTGGCCGATCCTTTTCTTATCCTAGCTTTAGCCGTTTGGATCACTGAAGTTGATGTCATTCTTGATTGACAACCTACCAGTCGCCTATCAAAACTCCGAGATGACAGTGCCAGCCCCCTCCTTCTCCGCAATATCCAGAATAGCCGTCCCGATAGCCAGATCCGTCGTACTGACACCGATACTTTTGTAGATGATCAAGCCATCCTCCAATGTCGACAGCGATTCCAGCTTCTCCCCTCGTTTCCGTGAAATCTCGATTTCTCCAATCTCCACTATGTACTCTGCCGCGAGTTTGCTCTGAACGATTTCGCCAGAGTGCTTAAGCGCAGACTCGCGGTCGTCGACCAGCACAGCAACCTTTGAACCTTGTTCGCGGAGTTTCCCACCAGCGGCGTTGGTTGCCTGGACGAGCAGTTCTGGGTCTACTTCCAACATGTCCGCCTGCCAGGACCCGACGGCAGAAATGTATGGATTTCTTTCCTTTCTTCCGTTTGTGACATAGTGTGCCGGAAATACTGGGCTTTTGGTGCCGACTGTGCAGAAAATGGCGTCTGCTGCAGCGAGACGATACTGAAGTTGAGCGTCGTACTCGGAGCTAGAGGAACTCAGATACTCAAACTCGGCGGTAGACTTCCAACGACCTTGGTTCTCCTCCTTCAATCTCGAGATGAGCTGCTGTGCGCGCTCCGCGGATCGATTCGCCACGGTAATAGTCTTGATCTCGTCGCCCCTCAATGATAACGCGAAGCGAAGATGCCACAACGCTTGCTTGCCAGCACCGAACACAACAATGTTTTCGGTATGGCTCCGCCATAAGTACGGCACAATGGCAGAGAGCGCCGTGCGATATCCTGTAACCTCTTCGGCGTTGATAACGCCAAGGGGTAGGCCGTCCTTGTCGCAAATGGAGATAATGCCGTGCAAGCTGTTAGCTGCTGGGGATGAAGGAGCCGGGGTAACGACGATCTTAGTTCCAAAGGCACCGGCGGAGCTGAAGGGTCGGAAGAGGCATTTCATGCCCTCAGGTCTGTTCACTATCGATGCATCGGGCTGATAGTCGCGCTCCGCGCCCTCAGAGAGCTCTATCAGCGCTCCCACAAGCCGATCTCGGAGCTGGAGAATGCCACTTCTTGGAAGGTTGAGCAGAATATCGAGAACAGCGGCGTCGCTGAGGACTCTGAAATTACCCATGGTGAATGGTGAATAAGATGCTCAGGTTTACAAAGGGCCGCTGAACAGTCAAGATCGTGAGGGGGTCGTAGTGTGGAGAAGTCTCGCGAAAGAGGCACGGATACTAGTATGTTGACAGTGACAAGACCTTATCAGCAGCTTGTCACCTCTTGATAGTCAGTTGGGTCACTGCGATAACAAATGTGAGTAGACGCATCGACAGTCTCCGTAGTTAGGCGGGTTACGGCAGTTTAGTTTGTCTTCAACCGTCAGACTCGGCGAGACCTACCGGATTAATCCCACCGGCACGGCATCCGATGCGGGGAAATGGGTCGCTGCGGCGGTTAGCTGAGCCGCTCGACGGGGTCCGTTGTGGGCTCCAGTTAACCGATTGCGAGCGGGTGATACGAAAGTCCAGGTGTAATACGAGCCGGTTCCTACTCCGTCAACGAGCGTCCGTTCCGTCTCACCGGCACATGAACCGTTCAATTCATTTTCCATGCGTTTGTGAATGAAATGTCTATCGGCCATGAAGCCTATTAATACCTATTACGCAGTACCTACTTATAGGTTTGACTAGATCGTGAGTCTATTGTTCTTCTCAACTAGGTATCATCTCTTGAACCATCACACCATGACTATCGGCCGTACTTTCAACGTCGTCGGCGCCCACTGTGGCGGCGAGGTCTGCGACGTCATCGTTGGGGGTGTTCTCGACGTCCCAGGCAAGACAATGTTTGAAAAAATGATGCATTTCTGGAAAAAGGCAGACCACCTACGAAACCTGCTGATGAACGAACCCCGCGGCTCATCATCCATGTGCGTTAACCTCGTCCTTCCACCGTGCGATCCCGAAGCCGACGCGGGCTTCATCATTATGGAGCATGAGGAGTACCCCCCTATGTCCGGTGCCAACACCATTGCCGTGAGCACCGTCCTGCTAGAGACCGGCATGGTACCGATGCAGGAGCCTACTACGACACTGCGCCTGGATACGCCAGCAGGCTTGGTCACGGTCGAGGCCGAGTGCAAGGACGGCAAGGTTACGTTTGTGGAGTTTCAAAACGTTCCGGCTTTTGTCTATGGCCTAGATCTAGACATCAACGTGCCGGGCTTCGACACGCCCGTGAAGGCCGACATTGCAT